GGGTATTCTTTACCTCCTGCGGATAAGGTGACATGTATCCCATTAAAAAATGACGAGCTTGTGTCGGTGCGCCTCATTCCACCACCTGCTCCATGAATAATGCATCCCCTCCTGGCCCTCTGTATTTATTACCTTGCAAGGCAACTGACCTTTCCCTTTTCCTCTCCCTTTGTCAGAAAACATGCGGCCCGTGTCAGCCGAGATCTGCCTGAACAACCTGTTCGGTTCTCCTTGATGCTTCGTTTAGGTGCCATTTAATGGTGATCTGGTGCCACAAAGACCTTATCCCTGCCGGGCAGGTAGAGAAAGCAACTTGCTAAGAATTAATCCAGGTTGACACCACTTTAAATGCCACGGCACAATGCAATGGAATCCTGGGAGTTGTAGTTTTGCAAAGTTGCCAGCCTTCCCTGTCAGAGAGTCATGGCGCCTCACCAAACTACAACTCGCATCATCTCTTAACATTGAGCCAAGGCAGTTGAAGTGGTCTCAAACTGCTTTCATTCCACAGTGTAGAGGCACCATTTCTTAATTATGATGTGGATCTATTCTTTTTGTTTGTTTGTTTAATGAGGGCTTTAAAATTCTATCAAGGTCCTAAAGCTATTTAGTGATAGTGGCCCATTGGATAACTCTTTTAGGAACTGGGGGAAAAAAACTCAGGAAGTTACGTCACAACCTCTGAGGATGCCTGCCATAGATGCAGGCAAAACGTCAGGAGAGAATGCTTCTGGAAAATGGCCAGACAGCCCAAAAAACACACAACAGCCCAGTAATTCCTGCCACGAAAGCCTTCGACAAGATGAATGTATGGATGGAGCTAATAATTTTGGAGACACAAGTATAATATTAAGGCCTGCAATGACTAACTACCTGCTTGCTGGACTGCAATTAAAAGTTGCTAATAAGAACTGAAAAGTAAACTCTGGTAAGAATTGGGACAGTGATAAGAGAAATGTTTACAATGTTAAGGAGGAAGTCAACATAAGATCAACAGCAATCAAGAAGACCAATATCTAGCCAGGAAACTGGGATGGATCCAGGATGGAAGACGTCTATAATTAATTTACAACTTTGGGATGATGTCAGCAGAATATTCCTATAAAAGACTCAATCTAATAACACTCAAAGTGTGGCAGACCTGAGGAGTCTGGCTCACCCGCCATGCTCTGCTTCATGGGAAGGAGAGAGGTGGTGTACCTGTGGAGAGTGGCAGATTTGCACGGGAGCAGACTGGTCACTTTGGCCTTCTTTCTCAAGGGAAGAGGAAGAAGTGTACTTTTGGAGTCTTGGATTTTGTGCAGGGAGTCAGGTTCTGCTGCAGGGAAAACAGGGATCTGGTCCTTGGCATTGTCCTTAGGGAAGAAGTTTTGGCATTTTGGCATTTTGAAGATTTGGTTTTATTTGGTTTTGGAAGTTGGTTTTGGAAGTTGGATTTGGTTTTGGAAGTTATGGAACAATGCATTGGCAGGCTGCAGGAAAGCAGGGTCTGGCGTAAACAGATGCTTCTCCAAGGAGGGAGATGAATACGTGTACATGTGGGGTGAATGTTGAGTTCCCCTTTGTTTGTTTGTTAACCAATGTAATTGTGAATCCAATGTAGTTGCATAGAATCTGTATGTCTGTATGTCCAATGTCGTTCTTTGTCTAAATGTTTTTCTGTAATCTGATGTATCCTCTCACACTGGAAAGTGCAATAAAAAGAATGTATGCTTTAAAGTCATTGAAAAGCCATTCATAACATTGTGTCCCAAACATTTTGGATCTGGGATTTACAACCTGTGATAAAACTGTATAACAGACTACATTGGAGTTTCTAAGGAGCATTTTAATGCTTCCCTAATATGTTCATATCTTTGCATTGTTGTTACTTGTTTTTGTTGTTGTTGTTATTCTGGTTTATAGTCTGCGTTCTTGTTCTGATTGAGATGCAAAGCAAGGACTGGGGAATGAATCCCTGTATTGTACTAGATTTTAATTTGTTCACTGTTTTAAGTTTACTTTAAGAGAGGAAATAAGACCATAAATAAAAAGAGAAAAAGAGGAAGAAGAGAAGGAAGTAGAGGTAGAAGACGAAGAAGAGGAAGCAGAGAAGGAAGTAGAGGCAGAAGAAGAGGAGGAGGAAGAAGAAGAGGAAGTGGAGGAAGAGGAAGAAGAGGAGGAAAAAGAGGAGAAAGAAGTAGAGGAAGAAAAGGAAGGAGATGGAAGAGAAAAACGAGATAGGAGGAAGATGAAAGAGAAGAGGAGGAGGAAGAGGAGATGGATGAAGAAGAGGGAGGAAGGAGTAGAGGAAGAAAATGAAGAGGAGGAAGAGGAGAAATAGGAGGACAAAAGAGGAGAAATAAAGAGAGGAGGAAGAAGAGGAAAAAGAAGAAGAGGAGGAGGAGAAATAAGAAGAGGAGAAGGAAAAAATAAGAAGAGGGGAAAGAAGAGGAAAAGAAAGGAGAAAAAGAGGAGGAGGAGGAGAAATAAGAAGAGGTGGAAGAAGAGGAGGAGAAATAAGAAGAGGAGGAGGAAGAAGAGGGGGAAAATAAGAAGAGGAGTAGGAGGAAGTGGAAGAAAAACAGGAGGAGGAAGAATAGGAGGAAAAAGAAGAGGAGGAGGAAGAAGTATTTATTTATTTAACGGCTTCACTACAAGCACTCATTTTAGTGCTGATCACAAACATAAAATACAGTTAAAACAATTCATTTAAAAATACATTATATGAATAAAACAATTTATGCCGGTTTTAAATCAGTGTTTGGGTCAGTCCATTGTCCCTCAAATCACATTAAATCATCCCAATTGCTGCTTCTATTGTTCAAATGCTTGGTCCCATAATCAAGTTTCTTTCTAAAGGACAGGAGGGAGGGGGCCAGTCTGATGTTGCTGGGAAGGGAGTTCCACAGGCGGGGGGCCACCACTGAGAAGGAAGGCCCTGTGTCGTGTCTCAATCATTTGCGTTTGTGATAGTGGTGGGACTGAGAACAGCACTCCTCCAGCTGATCTTAAACTTCGTGATGGCTCATAATGGGAGATATGTTTGGACAGGTAGAGGAGGAAGAGGACGAAAAAGAAGAGAAGGGAGAGG